AAAAAAAAATAAAATAAAATAAAATAAACAAAGTCGCTGAATTTTATAGCCGTGCCGCAGGCCTTTGGCCTGAACACGGTAAAAATGACCTTTGAGACTCCATATATAAGTAAAAAAGTTACCTGTGCAAAAGAACTAGTTTGTATACCCAACAAACTGAGGGATTAGGAATCCCGACTAGATAGTTGTGCTTAAACATCTTTCGTGTATCAATATTCTCATAATAGCGCTCATTTTGTTGATATATCCTCTTGATAAGTGCTTGATTTAACCAACAATGGGGTTTATTCAGTTTGCATTTCGTTTGTTTTTGTCAATGATTTGTTCTATTTTGACATTTGGTTTATTTTGACTTGGTTTACTTGATTGCAACAAGAAACAAAGCTCTTTGGATTCGTTTGTCCATATCCATCCCCATCGAGCATTGATTTATCCTGTAATTCGAATCTGATAAAGATCGGCCTAAAATGTTAAAAACACTAATAAAGCCTGCAGCATTACAATCCGGCGATACTGTAGGATGAAAGCTGTGATAGGTGATAGCCCTAGAGACAAAAGTCTTACTGAACAAATTCAATCGCGATAAGCCGGCGGTTGGAGTACATAAAAAATARCTATGAGAAAATACTATAAAAACACGATTTTCACATTTCTTTTCGTTCAAGCACATGTTACCAGAGTTAGTAACTCTGATGTTACAAGCTAGCCGCTAAGGCTCTTGGGATTTGTCTCCCAAGGGGGGCTTAGTGCGTCCGTTACATTTTTCCCTGAGCCACTGTTATCGTGAAGAAATCGGAAATAACCGTCGAAAAACCTTTAGGTTCTTGATTCTTCGTGATTGGTGTTTGGAAAAACGATATAGCTACACCGTAACATGTCTGGTTGATTTAACATTTTTAAATGCAATGTTTAATGAAAAGAACTTAACTTAACGAATACCTATCGAAATGTTTTGTTMCTTGGGTTACTTGGGGCAACTTGCTAGTCAGGGATCCAGCTCCAAAAGGTTGTCTTCAGGCGGCTGTTCCAAATATAACCTCTTAAACATACGCTGCATATGCTATATTGTCACATTATTGTTGCTGATAAACAAAGTTTTAAAAGTCTTCTTGTTCTGATGTGAAGCCTCCACACACAAGACAAAAAGCTAAAAAGGTCATTGATTTAGTTACGTAAGCCTACGGCTAGCCCGACTAAAAATTTAACTTTATGCAAGCATACATCCCCTTGAAAAAGCCCTATAAACAATACGTTCAGATTGAGAATTGCCTGACGCAGGAGTTAAGTAAGAATGTTGTAAGGCCACTTTGAAATAATCAGTCAGCATTGATGTGACGATATCCTATTGTAATATCAAGTGTAACAGGCACTCTTGCTTCCTTTAATGCATAACGCGTTGACATAGTGGCGGGATTAAACACAAAAACTGCACTAGGTAGAATGTAATACTGATTATTTGTGTAATATTTTCTGTCGATTGCATTCAACTCCTGTAAGGGTTATCAAACTCTGAAAGAGAGAAAATAGACTGAAGATAAAATAGGCATTGCTGAAAATCAAGATTGTTTACTTGTGCAATAATGACCGCAATTGTTTGGCTCAGCATTTGTTTTAGGAAACCGAAGCCTCTCTCTAGAGTTTTTTGTTGTTGTTTCTTTTTTTAATTTTTATGACGACAATGTTATATTTGTTGATTATAATCATGACGTGTTGTTTGGCCGTTGATGATAAAGTCTGTAATTGTTGTTATTGGAGTGACTTGTGTTGTTAATGATTTATTTTTCATACTTAGATGGTGGCAACAAAACTTCCGCTAAGATGGTTGACTTAGACACCCAGGCTCAGCTTTATTCAGAAGTGTGGGGTTGGAGAGTTCAGATTGGCGAATATTTCTCAGCTGATTTTACTCCATCACCCCTCCGACATATGTGGAAAAAGAAGGTTCATATTTAAATCAAATTGGACGATAACAAAAGGGACTAGGTCCAAGCTTCAATCTGATTAACTTAAAACACATCATACAAAACGCTTTCTGATCAAGTTTCATAACGTTTGAGCTTATACCAAAAACATTATTATATTRGTTCAAACACTTTATTGTCACTGGTGCACACGGTTACAGTTGGTAACGTAAGCTAATTAGTATTAATTACAGATAAAATGGTGGGAACAAGCGTTAAACTAGTGTGAGCTGCGTCGGTGTTTTCTAAAGAAACAGTCGAGTGAAAAGATAAATTTAACAGAGTAAAAAAAGTAGGTGAAAAAAAGTTATTTTACCTACTTTTTTACGGTGCTAAATTTATCTTTTTACACAACTGTATAATTACAGATAATTACATTCCATTACAAACACACTGAAATCGCAAAAACGCCGGAAAAATAAAAAGTAAATTTTGGATGTTTTTAATCATATGCAATAACTTGTTTGATGTTAATGTTTTTATGATAAACTACTCCATCTATCTGTGGTATTCAGCCAAAAAATCCAGGCAAACATAAATTCATTGGTATGTTTTTAAAGAAATTCTACTTTTGTTTCCAATAATTCAAACATGCTCACATTTTCAAATTAAGCTATTTTCTATGCGCTCTATCTAGTAAAWTTATTTACAGTAATCTAAGTGAAATTTGAGAATTTTGATCGCATTTCCCTATCTATTTTGTTATCACCCAATTGCAAGAGTCATTTATATTGAGAAGAAACGTCATCAGTTGGTTTCATATGATATATTTTAAATTTACGTCAATTCTTTTGTTTAGATTGGGCCTGCACAAGGTGACAACTCACTAGGAGCTGCCTTTCAATCTGAATTAACAAACATCGAATGGAACGAGAGTAAGACAGATTCTACATTCATTAAGGAATTGCGATATATGATGAAGAATGATAAAAACATTGACAGTCATCGGATGTCTATTCGTTTTAACTTGGATTTGGCGGCTGAAAACGGTTACGGTCGTATTGCGGGTAAGGTTAACCAGCTAACGATGATGACATAAGACACTGTTCCTCAACACGTCACTCTATTTTTTTAGGTTCGATTGGATTAATGGGAATCAAATCTCCATCTTTTTATTCACAAGGACGATATGTGAAAGCCTTGACAAATTTAGCGGATGCTCCTTTCATTGTAGACCAAAWAATTCAGAAAGTAGTATTTGATTTTGGGAACTCTTTTCAAATCGACGAAAAGGGTGAATTTGCGGTCAACAATAAGAGTGTATATGTTGGTGTCAATCTGGACGGTACGGAATCTACTTGCAGTTGTAGGGTCTTTTGGCTTGGGAAGGTGTTATACCAGCTACCCTGGTGGTACCGCCGTTATTCTGGTATACAATCCTTTCCAGAACTTGGGATGTTATCGCAAGAAGAGATGGACATCGTAAATACTCACCCTTTGGTTGTCATGGAGGTACAACATCATAAGATAATTTTTGTTTGGATAGTTTAGATCGAAAAGCTAAAACTAGTTTTGCACAAAGGTTTATTAATTCAGTCAATACAGTCYAATGCCCGTACATGWAGATTTTCGGCGACATAGAGCAGATTTTGTATGACTGTGCAACGGCACGGTTCACGGACACAAAACCTCGCCTTCTACTAATTGCARTTGTTAAAGTGCACATAGAAGGCGCTGATTTTGTCGTAGAAGCCTCTGATGTCCCAATTATGTGGAGAAGAACTTAGAAAATTTCAAAGACTTAAACTTAATTAAAAAGAAATTTTTGAAGATCGAGTACTAAGATTCGATCCAGCGCTATGCATTGCCTAACCCGATATTTTCCCTAAACCTAACCATTAAGCCACGAGACCAATTCGCTTGAGTGAACCTGAATTTTTGCGATATTTATGCAACGGCATGCATGAATAACCACGCATATGCAGGGGCGGATCCAGCTGGTGGGTGCACGGGGTGCGCACCACCCCCCCCCCCCTCCTGAGATTTGTTTCTTTCAATACTTTACTTATTTTGTATCTTCATGGTAATGATGTCTGTCCTCAGGAGAAGTGTTCGTAGATAAGTCCTTTGTAGTTTCAGAGCCTGTATATGTTAGTGTAGAAACTCGCCTTTTGATTAGATGTAAGAGTTAGTTACCGAGAACGGAGGCATTACGCTATATAGGCCCGAGGGCTGTATATAGCGTAATGCCGACGTGCGAGGTAACTAACAAACTTAGTTTTCAATTCACGTGGTTTTCGCAAAAACTGAATAGACTTAATGAATGTTTTCTTAGTTGGGTTTTGAACAATAGAATCCTCTTCTCTTGAGAATTTTTCATGGACTGTTGAAATTAGTTTCCTTTAAGAAAACCTGTTCATGCGAAAGCGAGCAATCGAATTTTGAATATTGTTATCAAATATTCTTAGCAGTCATTCTGGAAACGATGTCGAACAGTGACGACGATTTGTTTATAGCTCAAAATACGTTTGACATCATTCCTTTGGACGAACTTTGATATTGACGATTTGCTATCGGATTTGGAACTCCGCATGCTTCTTCCCGCAAATAACGATGACAAAGTCTGCAGATGGGAAAAAATGAGAAAAATTACAATTTGATGTTGAACTCGCTCGAAAAAATACGAGGGAAGGATTCAAGAAGGAACAAACTAAAGTACCAAATGGCCGTGTGTACGTGCTTGGATAGAATGGACCAGCTCACACCGATTACTTCTGATTCATACACGTTGGTTAATTCCGAAGAATAGATTCTTTTAAAARTAACGGCGAAGATCTTGGTTATTGTTGTCTCTATTCTCTGATGAACATATGAAGAAAAGCTGCGGGACTCGAACGTATTACACTCTAAATCTCCTCAAGTTTTGCTGGCCGCACTGGTCTTTTTCAGGGGAAAAATAGTTTAATTTACTTAGTTTATTTATTGATGTTCAGCTGGGAAATGTGGGGTTGATGAATTGAATTGAATAACTCGTTATAAATTCAGCGGGCTATATATGAGTGATTCCGGTCACTCATATATAGCCTGCTGAATATATAACGAGCTATTCAATTCAATTCATCAACCCCACATTTCCCTGCTGAATATCAAATCCCTCCCCGGCTTTAAGTTTCTATGGTATATACAACCCTATGAATAACAAAGAAAACCTAGTGAATTGGAAACTAAAGGTGGCTATAACTTTCACGATAAGTTTCACGATAAATTCGTCGTATCTCTCCAAATGCCCTTTCGAAAACGCTCGATATTCTTATGTGGATTTGTTAGTGATTTTAGCGTATTTGAAGTTGAATCAATGTCTTTAAATCACGCTTTATCACACTCGCCACCATAAAGATAGCACATCGAAGTTGTAAATATCATGTGATAGGTTTAATATTCGTACCCAGTGCATTCTAGTTTGGCCGAGGACAATTTGTGACCGAAATACGACCATGACGAAGAAAAAGAACCCTGAATAATGAACCATCTGTTATTACAGGTCACAGGCGTTTGGCCAAGTGTAAAATGTAAAGAAGTTCTAATGGCTGAATCGAAGGACGGGATCGACATTCGACCACATTCCAATTGGATTGCACGAAAAAATCCTCCAGAAACGCACGAGTTTCAAGTATTTGCGAAGCGATTTGGAAGTCCTTTACCCCATACCAATGTACATTTTGTATTAAGCTGCAAAAGGAGTCATGTACCAAAGATATGTACTCCTCCAATACCCTACACAAGCTCAGCGAGAACTAACAAAGATGGGGTCGCCACCTTGAAAATATGGACAAAAGATCCCAAAAATCCTCGCAAGGTTATCGATGGCCAGCTGTATCAATATTTTTACTATGTTGAAGGCTTTAAGCCAAACGCTACAAAATTGATGAAGGACAGGTTTTTCACAGACAAGTGCGTAACAATACGTGTTTTTAATCATTTTGTACCACATTCGCCTCCGACGTGGTTGGATGATATCTATCCCATATTCAGACAGTATGCTAATTTGTATCCCGTTATGAAAAGGATCGTGGATTTGGGGAATTATTACGATGTCGTGAAAAAGAGGAAACCAATATTAATGACCATGAAGATGCCTATGTCAGATCCTAATTACATGCCTGTAACACGTGATCTTTCTGATTCAAAACGGAAAGCTATCATAGAATGGCTGTCCAATGAAAAGCCGTTAATTGGAAGGTAATGATAACGAAAGTAGGGCAATAACAATATGATAATGGCATCAAATTGCAAAATAAGGAAAAATTATTAAAAAGAAGTACTAAATGCTAAAAAAATATATGCTACTTTCAGTGCTCGTTTTCAGTCATTTCCACTGCTTGAATGAACAGTATATACTTCTAAGAAATCCTTTGTTGAAGATCATCCAAGATGCCCGCTGTGACGTATATTGTAAACAAAGAGTAGTCGAAGAGTTAGGGATATATAGGACTTATTTGCAGTGACGATTTACTGACCCATATCATAAAATAACTTTATCRATATTCACTGAAAAATATGGCGCGCTTTAAAGGTTGTAAATTTGATGTAAATGATTTCCATTAAATTTACAGAATTTTGGACACTTACATCATATTTACATYAAATTTACAACCTTTAAAGCGCGCGATTTTTTCCAGTGATTTTTGGCGTCTAAAGTGTCTTCATATTCTTTATGAATAGATCACGTGATCTCTACACTGTTGAAAATCTCAGAAAAAAACTACAGACAGCTTTACAGATAGAATTCTCTACCATACCCCCTTACATGACAGCCATGGCCAGTATTAAACAGAACTATAACAATGATATCAAGAATATCATCAAGACTATCATCACACAAGAAATGATTCATATGACGCTCGTTGCTAATATTCTTAATGCCGTTGGAGGTAATAGTAATTTATTAGAAGACTGGAGCGAATCAGAATGTAGCATGTCGAGGTCTAGAGGAGTGAATCAAATCAAATTTTATTTAACAATAAAGTACAGTGGCGAAATGATGACATGCTACATCTTGATTTACCAACAGGATTTCTTTGACAGTTTTAATCTTCTTTCATTCAAGGAAAACCAAAATTCTACTCCAAGAAGTTCAGCACAGTTTACCCTACAAGTCTACCAGGCGGCGTTCAGCCTGATTTAGTCGTACCCATCCAAAAACTATCCATCGAGTTAATAAGAAACGTCTTCATGAAAATAGAGCAGCCAGAGCTCAGCATGCAAAGGCACTATGAATTTAAAAGTACATTCGATTTCGTAGAAAAACATCAGAAGTCTGGTCATAATTTTAGAATCGTCAAGAGAGAGTTGTCTCCTGATGCATCAGTGGATGAAGAGGACTTTCCTTGCTTAGATTCACAAATGCGGGGATCACTTGATAAAGGTGAATTGAAGTAACAGTTTCAATTATAAGCAAACTGCTGGGATAACATCTATTTTAAGAATGATTACAGCAGCAAGAGAAACAAAGATTAGGAAACCATAACACTTGCTGCGATTTTGAAGAATATGTAGTCGTAATTCAGTATGTTGCCTTTCAACTCTCTCTTTTTTTAAAGATTTGACTGAAGATCCAAGCTCATGGCATTTACAGTCGAAAAACCTTAGACCACAGAATAAGGTAGCAAAACAAAACAGGAATCTTTTATCGCATGCASATTGCTTGTTAAAATACATCTGTAACCTATACCGCTCCTTTCTTATTCTTCCATAACCTATATACATAGACTAAGACCATGACCATTATAGTTAGGCGGAGAAGATCGGGAAGGTCGGGCCTGAAGCGTGGTAAACGCCTTAAGAATGTGCCTCAATCCATACATCTCGCTCCATTTAAGTTTTAATTAATTGCATAACTGTGAATTCATCAACAAAAAAAGCAGTCGCATTAGAACCTGGATTAACTGTTGTGCGAATAAGACGAAGTATTTAATTTCTTTAATACTGGATTATAAGTACTTTGCACAAGCCAAATAATTCAATAGTCATAGCTAGTCCTTGTTTTCACTGTGATTATTCTATGTGTAATTTCAGCGCAGAAGTGGGCCTTTTCCCATCTTAGACAGTGATCTTAAAAAGCAGCACARCACAATCGGAGGCTTYTACTACCACATAGTGAAAATGTTATGCTACCTGACCAAATGTGGCAACGACAACAGAATTTTTACCGGCGATCCTGCTAGACAAGTTGATTTTATCCATGGTTCTGTGCACGGTAAATCGCTTCAAGTAACAGACTTTTCCTCTGCACTAAGGGCAATCAAAACAATCCTCGAACAGGGCGAAGGAAGCTCACCTTGTAATCCAATGTTTTGGTCTAATGGTACAGTAGACGATCTCTCCCACTACTACTTATTTTATTCAATTGTTGAAAAGAGACAAATTAAAGTATCTGATGATGTTCAGAATGACGAGCTAACCAKTGGTGACAGCGACGACGAATTTGCCAAGGTAAAGTGCATGGAACATATTATAAAACGATGTTAAGCGAGAAATCGTAGACACCTGTAGCACCATAAACATTTACCAATACAGAGACGTAAGAATGRAAGCGCAACAGACTTATTAAAGACCAAGAGTTTTGATATTAATCATTAATAGAAGCTTTCCGATGACATTGTAATATGGAAACACCATGTAATTGACTTTTATATAAATCATTGTCAATATATARTCATATAGTTATGATCAATGATTATGGCTGTTCAATAATTTTCTTTTCATGCTATATGTTAAACTGTTTTCGTTTTTAAAATCACCTCTTTCGACACACTACACCAAGACTTTGAATGAAACATGTTTCGTCTATTAGACCTTTTCAATAATTTTCTGAAACTCGTTTCTTTAGGTTTGTGGTGGAAAGTATTCATTCAAAGGACCGAAAATAGTTTACGATCCCAATGGAGTTTGGCCTATGATACCAAACCCTAAGATGTCTAAATATAAGAGAGGATCTCTTGCTTTCTTGAATGCCAAGGAATACAACAAAGTCCATACCAGGCTATTAAAGTCACTAGAACGTATATTCAATGGCTACCCTGACGACCTGAAAGATGCTATCGGGATCATGTACTCGCTGCAGGTTCACCTGGACAAACTAATACGTACTCCTATAGACCCRGACGGTGACCCCGATGTTGGTCCCAACGCTGGACCGACTTTCGACTTTACACCTTGACACACCCTTATTATCACAACCTAGACTTTCCACTCAAATTGTCTTTCCTCGRTGAATTTCGACCAAACTTTGGTAAAAGTTAGGGCATACCTCCAATTTTATGTCCCCGAGGTATCGTGGAAAAAAGGCTTAATTTGTTTGAAATAGCTGCAAAAGCGTTTTCCTGGATTTCCCCATATAACGCTTAAATTAAATCCGATTTTCACAAAATTTACTCAATATGAATTTGAATCCCTTGGTAATCATGCAGTAAAATATTATTACGATTTGACCAACTAAATTACTTTTTGACCTATTTCTTTCGTCCCAGTCGGCGTTCTAAACAACTGTATCCAGACACCTTAAGCCTTAGCAATTTCAAACACCTTTAATTTCTGATCCCTARATGTTAGAGTGCTGAAACTTTCAGATCATACTCATTGCAATATTTTCTTTCAACGGGTAGTAATGATATATTAAACAACTTATAAACTAAGGCGTTACGTGAGCCAGGCCCTTTTTCATATGGTCTAAAGAAACTTGGTTTTCAACGCCTTTGTTGTGTTGGTAAAGTCACTTGAAACCATGCATGAAAACTCCTTTTGAACGACGATAGAACGACCAACACGKTCTCGGAATACAGTATCTTTAGTATTCAACATTCTCCGAAATAGTTGTATACAAACATTTGTAGTCTTTTCTAATTCAAGCACAATGTACATATTTGAGGAACAACAGTGTTACGCGGCAGTTCAGTATTAATCGCAGCACTGAATAGTTCAGAAATAGTCTCCTTCAYGGTTACCTGCGCCATCTTGAAAGGTAGCCGTGCCTTTACATCGAAGCGAGACAATCGTTGAGCGTGAATGATAGATACCTGTGAATGATTGTCTGAAGGTGTGAAAAAAAGTTTCTATCATTACAAGCTCGACGGTTGTCTCGCTTCGATGTAAAGGCACGGCTACCTTCAAGATGGCGCAGGTAACCGTGAAGGAGACTATTGTGATGAAAAAAAACCTGGTCAAAAGTAAGTTATTTGGAAATATCAATGCTGGGATTTTTCTGCTGTTCATGATCTTGAACAAACATTTTTGCTATAAAGTCACCATCGCAACCATCCAACGAACGTCCAGCATTTCCTCTATGAACCGACGAATTCCATCACGTCAAGTAAAACCAATATTGTACCTACCTTTTTTAAAAAAGTTATTGTACCTACCGTTTTTTAAAACAGTTAAGTAAGAAGGTGTTTATACTGATGAGACAAGAAAATTGACAGATTGAGCTTTATTCTTTACTCTCAGATGGACAGGTCAGCAGGAGGCCATTACCAAAACACCTGGCTATATCACTACATTAATTTGTACGTAGTAGCCAGTGTATATAGCTGARCTAGGTATGATTTGTGATTTTTCTGGCATTAAAAATCATGGCGAAAGAAGTAGTAGAAATAGTCCTTGGTATCCCTGATGACGACGCTTGTAGTCACGTTATTGCGTGACCGYTTCCCATGGTGCACTGCAGGTAGCCGCCGCTCTTGTCGATCTTTGTTCGAGAAAGGTATTTTTGTTTGCTGCCGAAGAGGAGTGTAGACTGAAGGTTTTTCAGGTCTGACCGGATTTTGGGTAAAATGGGCAAGTCAAGGGAATATTYCTGTACTGTACAAGTTGGAGGACTCGATCAAGATTTTGAATACAACATCACAGTAAGTGTAAGCTTATTTGACACACTGCAAATGATCGAAGTCGAGTTCATTGACAAGCGTCCTTATAACTTGAATTAAATATCTAAAATTTCGGTTTTCTTCTTAACAGCCATACTTACAACAGAGGATTTTCGTATTTTAAGTGTCGATTTATCTCAAGAATGCTATTCTTAACATACAGAAAGGCAAGTCTTTGCACAACTTTTCAGACTGTCTTTGAGTGCGTCGATCTAAAGATCAAAACAATCATCAAATTTACAGTGTGAAAGACATTGATATTTTGTTCTCTGTAATAAGAATTTTCCCATGAACTTTTACGAAGCTCTGTTCATTGTTTATGGAGAACTCTGACTTGTAGTTGCTGTTACTAATAATAAGCAAGTGAATAGAGTACAAACGTTGTACTGAATTTAAAAAGCTTTAAATACTGTACATGTATGGAATCATTCTCTCTCTACAATCATAGTTTTGCGATAAGTTCTAATAAACTTATGTATTTCAGATTTATTTTGACCGCTTTAGTATTAAACTCTGTCATTTTCTAGCTGTTTTCGTAGAATGCTTTGTTACGCTGATTGTTAAAACCACAAACACTCAATACATTAAACTCACATCTACATTGACATCAATATCCGTGATTCGTTTTGAACACAGTTGTAAACTGTAATAARGGTTATGAATTTGACAGAAAATGAGTATTTAGAATCATTACAATTCTGCACTAAATTTTCATTTCTTTTTAGTTCATTTGTTTCGCATGATTGCACTTAGACTTCTAGTGGCCACAAATACTTTAGATTGTTGTTACATTTTGAACTATGCATTTGAATATGTAGAAAATGTGTTATTCTACATTTACAKCACTAAATAAAATATTGACTCCACATGATGGCATATTCTTATAGAAATTTACATSTATTTCAAAAAAACATTGAGTACGAAACTGTGATCCTGCAGACAATGTAGTACGTTCCAAGATCAGAATGTATTGTTTATATTGGATTCCATGCAAGAGGAGTTAAAAAATGACAATTATAAACAAGATTGCTTTCTTTTGAAAGTACAAAGCTGGCATAGTCAGTCTGAGACATTGAAAACCTWTTTTAAGTGTTTATTATTAATATCAACAATCCATTTTGGTACATGAATCTCATATTCACACTTTATCTTCAGCGCAACACTTTATCAATATCATATTAATTATGAAATACTTGAGTGGTGATATACACTTGAGGTAWTTCACTTTCATGAAACACCAAAGAGAGGCTTGGGATTTAATKGGGAACCCTATGCTCTAATCTTAATCTGCAGGTATAATCCAAAGTCSTCACTTAATAAAATAAGGAGATGATGGAGCGTTTACTTTTTGACTTACAGCTGAAACTGTTGCATCGCGACTTCTTTGTTTTGAAGTTTGTCTGGATTTTGTTCTTTCTTTCTTTCAATCTGAGGGGCGGAGATTTTCGAAAACTCGTTCAATCATTGGCTGATTAGTATCAAGCTCTGCCCCCAAGTTGCAGAAAAACCTAAATGCCAATTATTTCCTTTGAACATTGAAGTCGCGATGCAACGGTTTCTGCTGTAAAACAGACAAACTTTTCAGGTGTCACAATACTCTATTTAAATTACATTTTAAATATAAAAACAAAGAGGCAAGATTTGCTGKAACTCYGAGTTTTGTGCTTAAACGCACTCATCAGACAGTATTTTATTCATTAAGGTGGGAACTAGTGGTAAACTAGTGTGAGCTGCGTCTGTGTTTTTTAAGAAACAGTTGTGTAAAAAGATAAATTAAACACCGTAAAAAAGTAGGTGAAGTAACTTACTGACRTTTCGGAYGTTAATCCTTCGTTAATCCTTACTCTGACAAAGGATTATCGTCCGAAATGTCAGTAAGTTACTTCACCTACTTTTTTACAGTGTTTAATTTTATCTTTTTGACTGTTTTATTCATTAAATTAAATTTTACAGTTCTTGAAATGTGGGCAGGCATGATTCCATGTCATCTAAAGCAAGACAGGAGTTGTGCTTGCAGTGATACTGATGCCTATGAAAAATTATCTTTGGAATCAACAAAAGGAATCTATCAACTCCTGTCTATCTTTGATGCAAAGGCTCAGCTACATTTCAAGGTGGCATTTGGAACTGTAAAATGAGTGTTGGAGTCAGCATGATATATGCACATTGTACATACTTGAGATATTTTTCCGATCCRGTTTCCATATCAAAGCWTAGGCAAACTACAGTAATAGTGCATCTTCCACAGGTAGTCCAATGTGACTTTCCACTTTTAAGAAATGCAGAACTTATCTCATTTGATTCAGTAGTTGCAAGCTCAATRGCTCTCATTATGGTATCATGTACTATTTTGGTATTTCATGTCATTTGTTGCAGAAATGTCAGCAATTCAATAAAGTCATTCTTGAATTATGTGCTTATTATATTTGTTTTGCTTTTCAGAAAATGACCAAAGGTCAGACAATGTTTGATGAGCTATGTAAACACATCTCTCTGGTAGAAAAAGAGTACTTTAGCCTAAGATACATTGATGAAAAAGATGGTCAGGTAACTCAAATTCCCACTTTCATCAATTGCTATTGCAATTGCAATTGCTAAAAAAAATCTTTAAAATCTTACATTGCAAATACTAAAATGGAATGCTAGATGTCAGTTTAAAAATGAAAACAAAAAAAACACTRCAACAGGTTGGGTTGAAACTGTTACAGAGGCTTGAGAAAATGTCCAGTAAATATAATTTGTACTAAGTGATACTCAATGTTTATCAACAAAGTCATTCTTTTGTTAATGTGCCAACCATGATCTGAATAGCTTTTCACAAGCTGCATTGTTCTAACAGCCAATTGTCTTATGGTTGGCACATTAATAAGAAAGGCTTACGCCATACTTAGTATTGCTATACATGTAGCTCACCCAATTGAGAAACCTGCTCTAGGTGGTTAAAGACCATGTGCATACTAGGGATCATTTCATTTCCAACCAGCTGTAATGGGTTGTGACATCTGCTCTGTTGCAGTTGACTCCTAGCATGTTATATTGGCTTCGACTGCAGCAGATTCACAAACTTACTTTAGTATAGTGCTTGTGTTGAATCAGGTTACAGCTCTTGCTATTTTTCTGATGTATATATTTARTAGAGTGCAAACAGTAAAAGTGTGAGAGAGTACTAACAAAATAGTGGTCAATAATGCTAAATACAACGTAGTGTCTGATTAGACAATAGAAAACAAAGAAATTTCCATAATTTCAGTTTTATTCAATTAGGGAATTCTTTCATATATTTGGTGTTTGCAGTCTATRAAATACATAAATCTGTGTGTGAGYATACCTGATTGAGATATTTTATACYGTAYTTATAGTTCAATTGGTTAGAGATGGACAAAGGCATCATAAGTCAAATGAGCAGAGGTTTGTATAGTTCTGTACTTGTAAAATCAATGTACCTATTGTGTGAATTCTGAGAAACGTAATTGTACAGTCAAGTATATACCGATAGCACTTCTTTTCATTTTTTTCACAGCTTTTTCAACCCTCATCAGATACCCACACTGACTGATGCTATAYCAATGTTAATTATTAATGAAAAAGATCAATTTCAAATTTTACTTTAGTTCTTATTTTTTCATCTCTTTTAGCACCTTTGCATTTTTATTTTGCTGTAAAATTCTACCCAGACAACCCTACATTACTGAGGGAAGATATTACAAGGTACATAATATTATGTGAAATTAAAGTGCAAACTTTGATTAAGTCAGTATTGAAAATATTTGATAGTGTCAGCCACTCAGGTATTCATGCTCGTTTGCTAATCTATGCATTAGCATGCATAATATGTTTGAGATTGATGTTATAAGGTAATTGATAATAATGTCTTTATTAATTAAGGTACTGTTAGAAACTTCTGTTGATATTTCTGTGCTTGTTAACTGGAAGCAGTGACCTGACTTTTAAACTGTTTCAGGTATCAGTTTGTTCTCCAACTCAGAGAGGATCTACTGAARGGAAGGCTACAATGCTCAAACCCAATTCATGCCTTGCTGGGGTCTTACATTGTACAGGCTGAACTAGGGGATTATAATGCAGAAGTGCATGATTACAGATACCTCAATGACTTTAAGTTCCTTTCCAAACAGGTAACAATCTACAGTGATATAAGCATTTCAGAACTATGTGCGGAGCTGTAATRAGTTAAAACAACATCATTAGATCCAAATTGTTTTCGATCAGTCTGTGAGAATAATATCCCAGGCACTCATCTACATATCACACTTGACAAACATTAATTAACTGAACAATTAGTTGAGCAATCTTCATGATTATAAAGTACTGACTGAGAATTACTATACACTGTAGTCTCTTTCACAGTTCTTTGCCTATCTTGATTGGACTTGATATTCATATATTCACCCTTTCTAAAAACTATTATTCCAGCCCAGATATTGGTATCTTTGTGTCATCTCACTTCAATACCAATGCATCATGGGTATCTTTCAAAAGGCCGTGCTGGGAACAGTGATAGAGACTATTGACAGATATTAAAAAAGTAGAAGTGTCAGTTATTTTTGTTTCAATCAAAAGACATTTCTAAGAATTATAATTTACACTGTTTRTAGCCTTC